TGTGTGTGTGTGTGTGTGTGTTGATTGGGGTGAGGTGGAAAACCATGAGAGTGGCATAAAAGAAACTGAAGATACATTGAAAGTGAAATCATTAAACATGAATGAGTTTCTGTCATAGACTTCATTAATTTGATTCATAATTATTGTTGTACATCAAAAATTATCTTATGAAGTATGCTTTTATAATCCTCAAAGTCCACATTGCTAGTTTTGGAGGAAGGAGTAGTTTTAGGTCAATGTGTTTTGAAAAAGATGTGAGGGACAAACACAGCTTATAATATGGTAACTAGATTTTTTCCCCCACAGGAATGTGTCTATATTTATATAGCATAACCTGTTAAATCTGTACGAATGGCTGAAAATACAGACCACAGAAGCTTCTTTAATAACACACATACACCAAGTCCAAACTGTTCTACTCTGTCATTCATGTGTAAATCAAGTATATTATTCATATACTTCATGGACTTCCTGAATGCGTGCTAAAAATGCCAAGGAAAAACTCGTTAATCGTGACATGGTGACTGCTCAGCTAGCTCTGAAATGTTGATGGAAAAGAAAAATTGTCAAAGGGCCTTTTTAAGAACCTCTGCAGGTTACACTCACAAATCGGAATTCAACGAACATGAATTTCCTCGTTCAGGAAGGAAGGATTAAAATCAAACACCCTCCAGTGGTTGCATCTAAAAACTGCATAGTTGTCCCAAATGGCTTACTTGTAAAAGAAGTCTTCCTGTGCACCGTTGAGTACCCAAGAGCCAAGTCCCTGCTCAGTCTGATGGTTGTACAATCTCAAAAACATTAAAACAATCTTTTATCAACTAGAAAAGTTCTATGCACCCTGATGACATCATCTTGGGTGTTTTTTCATTGAATTATTTTAAATGCCAGTGTAAATTGGGTGATTCCTTTCTATAATCTCTTATGAAGTATGTTCTAGTCCTTAACAAAATTCTTGGAGTTTTAAGTTAGGAAATTTTATGGATTGTGCAAGCTTAATACCCCACCATCAAAGATGACTTTCAGACTATAATACACCAAAGCAAGGAATAAATTTCAATCAATTTAGCTCAAGAACCAGTTGGCTCAGTGATATATAAAAGGTTCCACCACATATTTGGCTAAATTGATGCAGTGAGTTGGTCTGTCAAGTAATCAAAATGGAACTGAGGGGCGGATGTTTGGCTCAGCAATTAAGAAATCAATTGGGACTCCCACATCCCAAATCATTGTCTCCTGGTTTGAGTCCTGGCTCTGCTTCTGATTCCAGCTTCCTGTCAATGTGTACCCTGGGAGGCAGTGGGTGATGGTTCAGGTACTTGGTTCCCTGCCACCCACATGAGAGACCTAGCTGAAGTTCCAACAGACATCTGGGGAACGAACCAGTAGATGGAACATATCTTTCTTTGTATCTTTCTGTTTGAAAGAAATGATTAAAAAGAAATAAAAGCTAAGTTGAAAGAGGGTACAAGTTTGGAACACATCTTTCTCACATTTTCTGGGTCTCACTGTCACATAATAGGCAAGTGTCATTTACTGAATTCTGGGTAAATTATATCACCTGTGTTGTATGTTGTCCCAGTTCTCTTTCTAATGTTAAGGTACTAGCCGGCGCCGCGGCTCACTAGGCTACTCCTCCGCCTGCGGTGCCGGCACACCGGGTTCTAGTCCCGGTCGGGGTGCCGGTTCTGTCTTGGTTGCTCCTCTTCCAGTTCAGCTCTCTGCTGTGGCCCGGGAAGGCAGTGGAGGATGGCCCAAGTGCTTGGGCTCTGCACCTGCATGGGAGACCAGGAGGAAGCTCCTGGCTCCTGGCTTTGGATCAGCACAGCACGCTGGCCGTACCGGCTATTTTGGGGGGTGAACCAATGGAAGGAAGACCTTTCTGTCTCTCTCACTGTCTATAGCTCTACCTGTCAAAATAAAATAAAGCCGGCGCCGCGGCTCACTAGGCTAATCCTCCGCCTAGCGGCGCCGGCACACCGGGTTCTAGTCCCGGTTGGGGCGCCGGATTCTGTCCCGGTTGCCCCTCTTCCAGGCCAGCTCTCCGCTGTGGCCAGGGAGTGCAGTGGAGGATGGCCCAAGTGCTTGGGCCCTGCACCCCATGGGAGACCAGGAAAAGCACCTGGCTCCTGGCTCCTGCCATCGGATCAGCGCGGTGCACCGGCCGCAGCGTGCCGGCCGCGGCGGCCATTGGAGGGTGAACCAACGGCAAAGGAAGACCTTTCTCTCTGTCTCTCTCTCTCACTGTCCACTCTGCCTGTCAAAAAAAAAAAAATAAAAAAAAAAAATAAAATAAAATAAAATAATGTTAAAGTATTGTTTTCTAGCTCAGAAGATAGTTATTTTTGAAATCTTAAGCACAAAAACTGACAGGCTTTTAGTCACTTGTTAGAGTTGATAAAGATTGACTATTATGGTGTTAACAATTATGGAATGCAAAACAGCAGAAAGGCTGGTACCATACTGAGTCTTATTGAAGATGACTTAACATACAATATAAATTCCACTTTAGTCATGATATTACCTTACTACAATTTAAGATAGTATCACTCTAAAATAGAATTTTCAGAATTTCCAAATTTAACAAAGCATTCTTGGCAAAACATAAAAAATACACAGCAATCTAATGAATTAGTCCAAAAATTAGAAAAGTATTTTTAATTTTTGATTTATCTTTTGCAGGTATTCTAATATCTGAGAAAATGAAAGCAATATACTTATTAGCCTATACTAGGGGCCAAGATTATTCTTATTAATTACATATATATTTTATATAGTTGAGTAGAGAGTTAACTTTTTAGCATTCACATTTTCCCTGTTAAGGGAAAGTGCCTTTCAGATACTGTCATGTAAAAATTTAAACCTTTATTTATATTCTCATTATTTTTCCTTGTCTTAAAGCAATACTATTGAAACAAAATCAACAAACATCTGTGAAATATTTAAGGAGCTCAAGTCCACTGCTAGATGACAATAGGAGCATGAAGATAAATGAATTACAATTCCTAGCCTCATGGAGCTTACAATCTTGCTGACTTGACATGACATAAATAGATGGAAAGCTACATCAAATTATAAAATAATATAAAATATCACAGGAGCACAAAATTTACAGTAAAACCAATAATACACCATGGATTCTAGCTCTGAAGACGTTTTATGGACTTTTGCAGGGGTAAAATATGAAGCAGGATAAATGGGAGTTGCAAAGGCACAGAAGACTGCCATGAATAAAAGTGCTGCAGGGTCACATGATGTATGTCAAATGCAGAGTTTTCTAGAGTGAAAGGTATGAATAAAGGATATGGTAGGAGCATAGTTTAGGAGATAATTATGGGCTGGGCAGCAGATTGTAGAAGTGTTTAGCTAAAGGTTTTATCTTGTAGGAATAGTGAACAATTAGAGTTGTTGAACAGTTGTGTGGCATGATCAAGGAGGGTTACATGCTATTAGTAGGGCTAATGAATAGGAAGAGAGATCATCAATGTTGCAGGAGTGAGCTAGTGAAGTCCCATACTAAGATAGTAGATGTGAGAATGGAAAAGATGCAAAGGACACTGGATTTGGAAAAAGACACAGAAGAATTTTAAAAAAAGGCTGATATTAGGATGTTCCTCAGGGAATCGATCAATGTAGAATGAATGATTTTTCAAGTTATGAAAATGGGGGGGGGGTTTACAAAGAAAAGAGTTGAGGACGCTGGGAAGCTTAGAGAATTCTGACATTCGTGGAGCAGGAAAAGTAATGGACTATTTTCTTTGCTCCTTTCCATACACCTGTATGCATACTAACACATACACACAAGCGTATATAGACATACACATATCCTAAGAGATGAACAACTCAAAGCCAGATGTTTCTATTTGTCTCCTGTCAGCTTAGTGACTCCGATCGACTGCTGACAATCTGAAGAAATGCTATTTAGACATGACCTAGTGCAGTAAGAACCAGAGATCAGCAGCTCTAGGCACTGCTGCCAGCTGTACCATTCACCAGCTGTCTGATATTAGACTTCTTTGAGCCTTTGTTTCCTCATCTGTAAGATAAGGATATTAGTATGCTCTCCTCTCAACACAAGATTGTTGTGTATAATCAATGAAATAATACATGTGAAATTAGTTTTAGTGCTGCCAAGTACTGAAAATATAAGCTTTTTAGTTTGTTTCTATTATATGTATTTACATCACCATGCTTGGATTTTTATTCATCCGTTCAATCTTTATCTCTTAAGACTACTAACAAAGAAACATGTTCAAATGAGTTCTAGCACATTTACTTGCTCTTGATGACATTTAAAGCTCTTTGAGGGCAGGCACCATATCTCAGGCTTCTCTGTATGTTCTTTACACTTTACCTTGTTCCCACCCTGACAATTCAGAGAAAAAAAGCACATATTTTGACTTCAAACTTAATTTATTATGAATATCAAGTGTAGCTTAACTTAAAAGTAGCACTTAAGCTGACAGTATTCAGCAGTTCTTGAAAATAATTTAAACACACAGTGTGAGTGCTATATCCACTGGTCTCATGTAACTTTTTAAGTGGACAGTTTCCCTAAGTTTGGGGGCCAGTAACACAGCATACTGAGTAACAAGGTTGAAAGAGATAAATTGAGTTATTAGTGACAACCATCATAGGTATATGTAGAAGCACAGTGATGGAAGACCATATCTGGAGCTGAAACACATTGGAAAGGCTTTAACTGATTTTTACAAGCCTTTTTTAAAGGATCATAAAGTTCTCAGAACACTAAGGCAATATAAAAAGAACATCATTAATGCGAAATGTAAAACCACACCTAAAACATAAGATAGAATGCTTTTTCAAAAAATTCAGATGCTAGAAAATCAGAACATTGCAGGCATTGGGGGAAATTTTGCATTTAATAAAATCTCCTGTGAGAAACATCTGTCAAAATAGTTGTTTCTAATGTTTGAATCTTCCTTAAAACTTCCTTAAAGAAACTAAACATTTTAGATACAATACTTGAAAGTACTTACTTCCACTTGGAATCAGGTCCCTTTCTGGAATGAAGAGTTTATATCCATAGTGTTTTTCCAGGACGTCTGGCAGTATTTCAAGAGCAAACTGCTCTTCTTCAGGATTGTCACAGTCTGAAGTATCTTGATCCACTTTTGTGTAAGAGAGATAGGCATCATATTCCTTGTTGTCTTAAATATAAAAACAACAAAGGTGTTGTAAACATTGCCAGATTCCTTTTATGTACTAAAAGTCTATACCCACTAACAGGCTGTAATAATCACTATAATTGGTGAATGTCTTTAGTAATAGAAAAAATAAGTGACTTGATATGTTATAAGGAATCTAATTCAACGTAACACAGTTAAATAGTAGGAACTAAAATTTGTATGTAATTCGGCCATCTATAAGATGCCACAGAATAAATGACAGAATTATTATTTGTGACTTTTGGTGACCATACACATTTGTGATATTCAGTGATGTGTGAATGATTAGCTCAGTGTATTTGAATGCAGGACTAAATAGACCAAAGTCATGGATTTGAACCCTTTATGTGCCAGTTGGCTTGGCTCTGTTACTTGGTCACAGACTATATCTTGTTTGCACAAATATGTGCAAGATATCCAAGAAGGGCGGGACGCTATAGTGTGGAAGATTGAAATAATCCAGCCTTACTCCTAGAGACACTACTCAGAGCACATGCCATACTTCCAGTTGGTTAGTGTTGTCATCTTCATATACAAAAAGCAGTTCATTACCAAATATTAGAGGCAGCAGCTGGGTTTTATACAGTGCACTGGCTGTTATTCTTGTTCAGTCCATGGCCAACTAATTTGACACAAGTTCCGAAAGAAGCTTTTGTTTCGAAATATACATTCTTCCATTATTGCCAAATTAGGTTTTCCCTTCACACATTTAATCAGGGAGTTAACTGTGCTTTGTGGGTGTACTTTTTTCTTCCTGTGCTGTATTGGCTCAGAGCCAGTCTCTCCAAAGAGAAAATGTGCATTTATACATGCATTTTTTTCTGCAAAATGTTAATGAATGCAGCTACTCAAAGTATTCATCTCCATAGGTTTTAGAAGGGTCGCGCTGGAAAAGCTATACTACTATTTTTCAAAATTTCTTTAACTCTAGAAAAACTATTTTTAAATTTAATGTAGTGAGCATGATTCATGTGGAACTATTAGAACTTATTTAAACACAGTTACTTGCAGATAACAATTTTTAAAGACTGGCAAACATTTCAGAATGTTTTTAAAACACTTCAATATTCTCCAATAAAACAGACCTGATTGGACTATAGATAAAAGCCAACCCAAAGGTAATTTATAGAATGAGGCAGCCACTCACTTATCTAAACCACTAATGATTTAGTCCTAGCTGCTTGCTGGAGGAGGAGCAAACTGTAAGCCTACAATGAGATCTATATCCTGAGACTTGTTGACTTTTGGCATGTCTTAGGTAGGCTATGTTGTTCTAGTTCCAATTAGAGTCTAACCTTCACTACCCACACGTGAAATGAACTCTGCTTATGTATGTAAAATGGTACCTGAAGTCAGGAGAAAAGAGTTAATACTCTTCAGCATATCCTTTGGCTGCAAAAGCTTCTATAAACTTTGGTTATGACACCTGCTTGCTTAGAAGCAGATGCACATGAAGGACTGTGCTGGATAGTGGAGGAGATAATTTGGCTCACAAATTGGGCCCATTCCACTGTTGTGCATAAAACTCCACTTGGAAGTGAGAATGTTCATAAGCCATGCTAATGTAAGAACCTCCTGGTAATCCTAGCACCTCTGCCCCTATTCCAATCAAGTACAGGATGCACCTGCAGGCCCTTGACTTTCTCTAGCTATAATTACTCACCTGGGACTCAGAGCTGCCGATGGTAGACAGCTGGAAGAATAAAATAGGCCAAAGGACAAGCAGATCTATTCCTATGAGCAGAATATATTTCATTGTTCTTGGTGGATAGTGTTGCTGTCTCAGATTCGGAGTTAGACTAGACCTTTGCTTGCTCTGACTTAGGAAATTTTCCTATTTCACAAACTTCCCTAAATTTAACTATGTAATTACCCATCCAACAATAACTCTTTGAGTATCTACTTGAGCTGGACATCCCTGAAATGGCTCCCTTGATTCTTCACTCATCTGACCAGACCTTGTAGAATACTCTCCCATTGCCTGTACTGACTATATCTATTGGCCCTTCAACCGCATCTAAACTCACATATTGTTGGTCCTATCCTTACCTGCTCCACTTATATTCTGATGGCACTGTTTAATTTTACAAAGACTTCCTTATAAAAGTATTTCTAGATTTGCATATTGAAACCAAGTTACAACAAAGAATGCACATGCCTTTGATATAGATTAATATTTAAAACATATAGATAACAAATTCTACCTAAAATTCCAGAAGCACATTATTCATTTGAAAATGGTTGTTTCTGGTTTCAGTCATGTCCCTTTAAGATGAACTAAAGGTGAAAAGCTTATCATGATGGGTATCCAGAGCAGGAAGAGCGCTCTCAAAGCCACCATGTCAGATGTCCCAGAAGCTCTGGGATGCCAACTTGTAAGCCAACAGTGACGCAGATGCCACAGTTTAAAAAATGTACTTCAGCCTCATGGAGACAGCCAAGAAAATCTCATGAATAGCCCAGCTGTTGCTATAAAGAAAGCAAGATGAGCACAGCAAAAGCAATAATATAATGCAAATAAGGTTAACAGCAAGGCCGAAAAATTGTTCTAAAACCTAAAGGCCGTTCTGTGACACCACTTTTCTGTGAAAGCCTACTGAATCATCTGTGTGAAATCGTCCTGCCTAAGCTCACCTGAGGAACCCGAGAGCACGGCACGATGCAGTCAGAGCATTCTAAGGACGAGGACTAGCACAGTGATCACCATAGGTATACTGTTCTCAGTCAAGGAAGAATTTAGGAGGACGAGAGCCACGCTTTGGAAGAACTGTTCTCTTGTCATTTGAAATCTCATTTTAATCCTGTTCGCCATCATGAAGCCATACCTATTTACAACCCAGTTCTTCTGCAGCTATGCTAAACACAGTGCTAACATTGAGCTTCTAAATGGAGCAATCACTGATTGGTGAGGTGAAATGAAACAGATCACATAAAAAATGGCTAAGAAGTCAAAAAGTTTATTGAATAGATTATATTTATTAAAATATAAAACATTTTATAACAGCTTTCAGAAATGCTACTATAGATACAAAGATAAAGCATGAAGAAAGAGAATATGGGTAAAATTAATTTGTGTTTATAACATGCCAAAATATTTAAATGAAGAAATAAAAATTTGGTGGTTATTAGGCTGACATTTGGCAACATACAACTAGACATTTCTAAAACGGTGTTAAAATTCATTAATTCACCCTCACCCCACCCCATGCCTACTGATGTTTTAGTATTCCATTCAGCTAGTACAGAAGTTGTGTAAGGCCCAAGGTTTTATGTAGGAATATAAAATATTTTAACTCTTCTTCCTAATGAAAATCCTCAAAGTACCCTGATTCCATATTGCATTTTTCTCCCAAACAATGAGTTTGGAATCAATATACACAATTCTCTAATCAACATGTATTACTGACAATTTTGACCACATGGGCCACATTGGAGACAAAGATACACAATAGAATTTTTGAGTGCTGGAAGATCCCATGATATTAACATGTACTTAATCTTACAAATGTATACTACAACTGATCAGTTAGTCTAGGTTATTAGGTATAGTTGATGAAAGTAATTAATTATTGCAGAATAGCTTAACAGATTTTATAATATCTTGTAGATATCAGCAAATTGCTTATAATCATGCCTCAAAATAAATGAGTCACAGCAGCCTCTCGTTCATGTTCTTTTATGTATAAACAATGTATTTTTTAAACCTTCCGATTTGGATAATTTAGCTATTTGTTGGCATTAAGGAAACAGTTTGCCTCAACAGCATAGTCAATCAAGTTATTTTATGTGTACATGTAAAAGGTCAAATTTTTCAACATTAACTGTGGTATATAGGAACAGAGGTTATTGACCACATTTTCATATATATATGTATATACAAATATATATGTAATTATAGTGTATAATTATGTTTGAAAAAGTGAAAAAAGTCTTACTCCCTCATTTTGAAGATATGTCTGAATAAGTGTCTGTAGTACTTTTTTTTAATGATTTATTTGTTTATTTGACAGGCACAGTTACAGAGAGAGAGAGAGAGACAGAGAGAGGTCTTTCATCTGCTACTTCACTCCCCAAATGGCCACAATGGCCAGAGCTGGACTGATCTGAAGCCAGGAGCCAGGAGCCAGGAGCTTTTTCAGGGTCTCCCACACAGGTGCAAGGGCCCAAGCACTTGAGACATCTACCACTTTCCTAGGCCATAGCAGAGAGCTGGATTGGAAGAGGAGCATCTGGGACACGAACCAGAACCAATATAGAATTTGGGCACCACAGGCAGAGGCTTAGCCCAGTTCACTACAGTGCTGGCCCCTGTAGTACTTTTGAATAGGCTGCTATAACTGTTGGGTAAGCATACAATTTTGAGAATGAATACACTTATGTACCCATCAAAGAACATTTCTCTAATTTACTGCAAACATAAAAGTCAATTAAAATTCACTCATATCACCATTTATTTAATAGTAACAATATGGCCAGAAATAAGATCCCTCAAAAATTTTGATGCTATATCTATCACTATAAAACAAAATTGGGGCTAGTGTTGGGGCATAGAAGCTTAAGGTGTTGCCTGCAATGCTGACATCCCACAGGACCACCAGTTCGAGTCCCAGCTGCTCTACTTCCAATCCGGCTCCCTGTTAACACGTCTGGGAAAGCAATAGAAGATTGGTCCAAGTACTTGGTACTTTGGGCACCTGAACCCACATGGGAGACCCAGATAAAGCTCCTAGCTACAGCCTGGCCCAGCCCTGGCCATTGCAGCCATTTGGGGAGTGAACCAGCTGATGGTAGATATTGCTTACTCTTCTCTCTCTTCTCTCTCTCTCTCTCTCTCTGTCTTTCAAATACATAAATAAATATATTTTTTAAAAAGATGGCTTACCAATGGAATTCTGCACACATTTCCAAGGCTTATAGTAGTTTGGGAGTGAGGACTTAAATTATAAGGAACAACATGTTAGGATTTCTTGTTGGTATTGTCTGGAAACATGGCAATTTGTTCTCTTGAAAAACTTTAATCACTTTTGTATGGTCAAAGAAACAAGGCTCAATAAAATGCTTTAAAATACATCATTCATAAGCTTTCTAAAGATCCAAAACAGTATAGAACAAAATTATAAGACACACTCAAAATTGTTATCCTTTGAGAAACATTTGAGAATTGTGCTACAAGCATCCAAATATATTTTGGCTCATCTACTTTGAGCTGTAAAGGGGATCTCTCCACAGCTTTTCATCAGTTTCTTGCATGATTGTTTTCTCGATGGCAAAAATGCCTAAAAATAATTCATAGGTAAATTTGAATTCTCTGGAGGAAAATAGAATTTGTTTTTAACTGTTTCTTACTTATTGAAGAAGAGAACTTTGACCACAGTAGTTTTATTCTCAGGACAACTAATATCTCCTTGTTAAACTTTTTAGTTGAAAATAATTTCAACTATACCAGAGGACTTACTATACTAATATGAGATGTTAATAGCAGAAATTCGGTGAGGGGTATACAGGAACTCGTACTACTGTCTCACAAGTTTTGTTTTGTAAATTTAAATTAATAATAAAAAAGGAAAAATTAAAAAGAAAAAAATCTGAGAAAATACATAGCATAAAAAACTGCAAAAACATCAAAATTTTTTCAACAAAATAAACTTATCTTAATTCCATTCTTCTCAAACTTTTTGAAGTACCCTCAAATGGGAACATTATAAAAATAAAAGTATTTCCCAAACATACAAATGTCCTTTACCCAGATTCACCTATTGTTAATATTTTCTCTTCTTTTCTCTCTTGGTAGATAGATATTTGTCCTAAAGCATTTGAGGGTAAGTTGCAGCCATCATAGTCCTTTACCCCTAAATAGCTAAATATTTTTTAAGAATTGGGATGTTCTCTGTCTTAATCACAGATGTATGCCTTTTCATTGAATTTGAACGATAGGAGACAGCTTACCATCAGTAGTTTCATCACCTCCAAAACGCTGTCGGTAGAAGAGCATCAGCTCAATGCTGTAGCATTTGTAGATGACCACCAACAGTATAATGAGGAGGAAGATTGCTCCTAGGCCCCCTGCAAGCTCAATTTTGTAGATTAAATCTAGAGCAAACAGAACAAGCAGGAAGATGTAATTAAATCAGCTACCCTCGAGATCTGCTCCTATTTCTAGTATATAACATGCATCACCCATTTTTGCTTTTCTTTCCAGAATATTCTTGCTTATAATGATTTGCTCTGATAAACTTGTGTGAATCAAATTTTTGTAAAATTAACTCTCTTCTAAAGATTGAAATAATTTACTATTGAAGGTAGTAAGTCTGTCTGAAACAGAATAGTCATTTCCAATTTGTTTTGAACACATCTAGATTTCACATATATACTCTTGCTTTAAGGTTATTTCAGGAAATGATGAAAGCTGCTTTATTCTGGGTCCAGGACCAATATTTTCCTGTTTCTGTTCAATTATCTTATTGGCTTAGCAAGATTACCATCTAGTACTTCTCAGGCCACAGGCCCTATCTTCTACAAGAGAACAACGTCATAAAATTACTTTCAGAATCAAATAAAATCTAATGAGCTTGCAAGATTTAACTGTTTCATTTAACCCCAATAGAACATAATCCAATACAAGGTAAGCAGGGGAAATTAGTTTATCCCTTACTCTACTTATTTGAATAAATGACTATAATATCTATGTGATATAATATGCCCAGTGAAGCTGAAAGAGAATGAGAAATTCAGGCTAATCACTTGGCTTCCTAGTCCAACACTAGGTTACCTGAGAGCAGCCTTAGGCTGCTGCAGTGAGACATATGAACTCTGAGGGTTGAACAATTAAATCATCATAAAATGGCTTAGGGGAAAATGACTTACCTGTAGCATAATAACAAATATGAAGAGTGTGTCATCAAAAGGGGATGGTATTATAGAATTTAGAGACAGAGAGTCAGAGGACAATTTGGAATGTGAATTCTGCAATGTCCAGAGAAGACATACTGAATCGGAGAGACACCAACCAGATATTTTCTGCTGTAGATTAGGGACATTCATTGGGCTCATAATAATAAGATGAAATTACCTACAAGATTAGCTAACCTCTCTTAATCTAATTCCATAATTACCAAGTGACTCTTTTATTACTGAGTCAGCTTACCATGTAACTAGAAACTGGGAAAGGGGATGTCATTCTAGTTTGTACATCTGTTGCTTGTGGGTTGGGTTGGCATCAGTCTTCCTGGATGGATCAATTATGGGGCACTGTCAAAATCAAATTACTGGTCTGACAGGCTGTCACTCTGGAAAACCAGATAATCAAACTTTCTCTGGGAATGTCTCTTATCTCCATATAAAATTACTGCTTAAGTGAAATTAGTCAAGCTCAAGATAACAATTAAGATCCATTTAGCGTGTTACAGTTTATTAAAAAACATATAACATATATGAATAATTACAAGTAATATAAAGCATTATAGATAAAACTTTCAACTAGTCTGTTATCTATTCCCTAAATAAGGGGTGGGGAACATCTGGCTTGCAGGCAGTGTAAGGCCTGAAAAATCATCTGGTCTGGTCTTGCCAAGGCAACCACAGGCAGGACTCAAAATTCAATAAATCTATAGCAGGCTAGTTTTTAAGTTGATCATTTTGTATGCCCTATGAATGATGGCATAACTATCTGCATGGCCCTTTGCAGAATAAAGGTTCCCTGGAGTCTGCATTGTGGCGCAGTGGGCTAAGCTGCCGCCTACAACACCAACATCCCATATGGGCATGGGTTTGTGTCCCAAGTGCTCCATTTCTGATCCAGCTCCCTCTTGATGGCCTGGGAAAAGCAGGCCATCACTTGAGCCACCTTCCACCCATGTGAGAGATTCAGATGAAGCTCCTGGCTCCTGGATTTGGCCTGGCTTAGTTCCGGTCATTGCAGCCATCTGGGGAGTGAACCAGCAGATGGAAGATTTCTCTTTGTCTCTCTCTGACTTTGAGATAAATAAATAAATCTTTAAATAAATCTTTACAAAAATAAATCTTCCCCACCCCTGCTCTAAATATTTCTTTAGGGCAAGAATTATTGGTCCAAATCTATACTTGAAGAATTTGTTTAAAATCCTTGAATTCTTTATTTAGTGGAGGATTAAGCTTGTGATTATAAATTAAATTGATAGTGTGTCATAAAAATAAAAGAAAAAGAAGAAAGGAAGGAGGATGGAGGGTGGGAAGTACCATTATATTCTTAAAAACTGTGTATCTGAAATACATGAAATTTGTTCTCTTTACATAAATAGCCAAATACATTTTTAAAAAGTTGTAAGAAATATAGCAGTATGCCAATATACTAACAATGGTAGACTAAGCATTGAAAATTGAAATGATTTTGTTACTTGCTATGAATTTTGTCTTTTGTAATTCTATATTTTTAAGATGACTTATAAAAAGAAAAAATTAATTATGAAAAAAAACTTACCTAAAACATCTAAAGAAAAGAAAGTCTGTCAGAGCATCTATGATAGAGCAGCTGTATGAGTGGCTGTTATTTGTGTTTTGACTGCTTAAAGAGAAGTTTGAATAGCTTTGGTATCTTTGTTAAATGTGAGAATATGAAGCTAAAATATATTTGTAAAATTCAAACACTGTCTTTAATTCAAGAGAGCTATTTTTAAACAATGTGGAAAATGTTCATTACATTAAATGACTAGCTTTGCCTGGAAATACAACTCCAACCAGGATGGGCTCTGAGAAATGTTTTTTCTAATTAGAAATGAAATAAAATAATTTGAACCTCAGGAGTTCAGTCGTGTAGTCAAGGTCATATACCTATGAAGTGGCAAAAACTGGGACTTGAGTCTAGGTCTCCTGACTTTAATTTCATGGCTTTTTAAAATTACACCATAGCTTTATAAGCTCCAGCCTGGAAGATAACAACAGAAAGCCTCCTACCTGTTCATCCACAGACCTCTTTGTAGTGGGCCCTGACAACGTGTGGCTTATGATAATTTTGGTTCCTTTTGCAGTTTCAGTTCTAAGGGAAGAAGATAAACTACAACTGACTAAGTAGAAGGAAAGAACTGGATATATCTCAGACACTTCATTGGAGGGTATTGCAGAAGCCTGGAGCTATAGCGAGGGAGAAAGGAGTGTTCCCTGTAGTCCAAAGTATGAAGAAAAGTATCAATTTTTGTGGGGAGGGAGGAAATTTAGTCTTGGAAAAAACGTGGGCCGAGAGAGGAGATGATGGTGGGCAGATATAGCACAGCCAATCAGAAGAGTCATGGAGTAGAAATGTTAGAAACATAAATAAATGTCACTCTTTTTGAGCAAGGAGAGAGGGGGAAAGCCCAACTATGTGAATTAGCCCTATTATAAGGGGCCATAAAATGAGTAGGGATAGAAAATTGGAATCTGTCTTGGTCCTGCCTGCAAGAGGAGTTAATTTTTAAAATTAAGCTACAAAATTTCAGGTTAAAAAATATCCCACCACATATAAACTCTGCCTCTTGCCCTCTGTATAGAAAGTGGATCTGCCAGGAACTACTACCTACCTCTGTGTGAGGAATAGAGCAGGCTTGTTTATGAGACCTCTGTGAGCCTGCAAATGACAATATTCGCTTGTTTTCCCACCATGTTAGATCAATTATACATGATTAATAGCCAGCGTTAAACTGACAAAGCAATAACATTTTCTTTGTTACTCTGAAAACCAACTTCACTTTCATTTTAGGGCATTGACTGACATGAATTGAATTTTTTTCATGTTATAAGATGTTCATTTTTTGCTGTAAACTTTTGTACTCTTTTTTTCTCTCACTTCATCTCTCTCTTTCTCTCTCTCTTTCTCTCTCTCTCCCTCTATCTTTGGTCAGAACATCTTTCAACTATTTTCAAAGTAACTGAATGGGAATTTTTCAGAAATTTCTGTGTTATTTACAGAGTAAAATTGCTAATAGGTAGATGGAAAACTTCAGCAGTGGGAACACTTTGTGATCTCAAGTAGCAGGCACCTTTTTCAGCATTAAATTTATGGAAGAAAATTGTGGTGTGAAAAGTACCTTTGTGGTCTTGGGGTCCATTTCATAAAATGTCTTTGAAAGATATTACATAATTATGGTTGTTTAAGTTTAAAACTTTAGATGTAGGCTTTGAGACTCAACCAGTATTCTTTAATTCAGCCCAGGCAGTCACATCAAAAGGGAAACATCTATCCTATAATCAGAGGGCAGAATTGCCATCACTCCAATAACATCTATATTTCTTTTGTCTTCTGTTTTCAATTGCCATTTTCCAGCTCAGCAGGATCTATATTTCTAGGTACATTTCCTGACTGAGGAGCCAAAAGTCATTGTATTTGGTCGGTGTCTTGTATACACTTCAAAAGGCTAGCTGTAGCCAGAACAGCAAATATTTATGGAGTTGTAACATTCTCTAGGTACCCCAAGTACAAGTATGGCTCTTTCATAACATTATTTTGAGAAACCCAACTATTTCTTCTCTGTGAACATAGGGACCAGATATTACAGATTTGGGAGAAACAGCTACTGAAGCCAAGGGATTGGATATGGGGAAGGCTGAGAATGTTTGAGCTTGCTCCTCTGGCTCCTAAGTTGGGAAGCAGGTTAGGCAAGCCACCTGAAAGCTTGTGCAATTGTCTGAATGTTTGTGTCTTCCCAAAACTCATATGTTGAAACCTAACCTCCAAGAGGATAGTATTAAAGTGTGGGGCATTTGGTTGATTAGGTCACGAGGTGGAACCCTCATGAATGGGATTAGTGACCTTATAAAGCAGGCCTGAAGGAGCCTGTTTGCCTGTCTTTTACGTGAGATCACATAGAAGGCAACACACATGAAGAATGTGCGTTCACTAGATACCAAAGGTTCTGGCACTCTGATCGTAGATATAAAGCTTCCAGAAGAGAGTACCATAAGTTCCTATTGTTTATTACTCCATCTAAGATATTTTGCTATAGCAGCCAAATGAACTAAAACAGGAATTGGTACTGAGAACTGGGGTGCTGCTATAACAAATACCTAAAAATGTGGAAGCAGCCTTGGAATTGGGTAATGGGTAGAGGCGAGAAGAGTTTTGAGGTGCACTAACATGAAAGGGGCCTTAGAGAGATTCTGGTGATAGTTCAGAAGGAGAGGTGGGCTACTGAGAGGGCTTCAATGTTCTTACAGGTTACCTACATGGCTGTGAATAGAATGTCCGATATGTAGACAGTAAAGGCCATTCTGATGAGGAAGCAGGCAGAGATGAAGAACGGGTCCTCATCATATGGAAATCTGCCAGTGCATTGATCTTGGACATTCAGCCTCCAGAACTGTGAGAAAAAGTTTCTGTCATTTACATGTTACCCAGTCTAAGGTATTTTGTTATAACAGCCTGCACAGATCAAGAAAACTTCCTGTACACATGTATATTTGTGTGTCAAGGTGGAGTGTATCACTGGGGATGAAGAGAGAGATCCAGCGGTGTACCTGTTTTGTGAAAAAGAGAATATGTGCCAAGAATCAGAAATAACTATTAGGATTTCTTTAACTTAATTTTCAGAGACTAGGCTCACAATGAAAATATTTAGGATGAACTTCTTACTGAAATGTGAGTTGTACTTTCCGGTAAATAGTTCATTAGAGAATAGAAGTGGTAGGCGTAGGTAGAAGATGCATTAAGTGAAGGGGTGTCGGGGCTGGCGCAGTGGCTCACTTGGTTAATCCTCCCCCTGCGGTGCTGGCATCCCATGTGGGCGTTGGGTTCCAGTCCCGGTTGCTCCACTTCCAGTCCAGCTCTCTGCTGTGGCCTGGGAGGGCAGTGGAGGATGGCCCAAGTGCTTGGGCCCGTGCACCCACATGGGAGACCGGGAGGAAGTACTAGGCTCCTGGCTTTGGATCAGCCATTTTGGGGGTGAACCAACGGAAGGAAGATCTTTCTCTCTGTCTCTCTCTCTCACTAACTCTACCTGTCAAATAAAAAAATAAAGTGAAGGGGTGTCTTCTTTTGTAAAGCCTGACTTTGTTAATTGGATATGTTAGATTTACTTTTCATTTACAAAAAGCCTTTTCTCTTTACGAAAGATGGATCATCCATTTCTCCTCCATACTGATCAGTTAGGGTATTTTAAATACACCCTGTTTAAATGGCTGCTCCTTTAAAGCAAGGGATGTTTCCTCTATGTTTTGTTTAATATCTAGTCCTCATTTAAAAACAATTTCAATATCTCTCTGGCCTCTGAGAGGTTGCAGTGTCCAAACCCCAATTTAAAGTGAAAATCTTGGAAAAGACAAAATGAATTTATGTAACCTATGGCAAATATTAGTCAAGACAAGATCAGAGAAAGCCTTCTCTTTAGCAACCATATTCTATTGTGTTTGTCCTATTTGAGGAGACTTTTCACCCAACAAATATTTTGAGCCCTTATGTTTTATACACTAGGGATTTGGTAGTACCTAAGGCAGAAAAGACTCTGTTCTCATGGAGTTTACATTCTAGTTGGGGAAAAAAAGACAAGAAGCAAACTATTAAGTAACATAATCTTAAATAATAATGAAGTCAATTAAAAACAAATAGAGCCAAGTTAGAGGGAAAATGAAATGAAAGGCAATTCTGATCAATATAAGGTAACTAGGGAAAGCCTACAGAGTAAGTAATGTTTAAGCAGAGACCTATCTGAGGGAGGGAGAATGTTAGGGATAGCTGGGGTGAGAGTAGTCCAGGCAGAGGAAATAGCACGCGTGAAAGATCTGAAGTAGGGCTATGCTTAGTGAGCAGGGGAACTAGAAAGGGGAGTATTGCCTTTGATGATTGATACAGATTGTGGTAGAATGTGCGATCAGAACTAAGAACAGATTGCACGCCTTATAGGCCAGGGCAAATATTTGGGATTCCATTCTAAGTCTAACAGGGAAGGTTTTGTGACTGGAGGCTTCTCATCAGGACAATAAGGTGATGTGACTTACATGTTAATAGGATCCTTCTTGCTGTTGTGGTGAAAAGATTGTGGAGGGACCAAGGTGAAAGCATGGAGAACAGTTGAGGTGATTGCACCGATCCAGGTCATTGTTGTTGGGGGTTCAGACTATAAAAAGGTCAGTGAAGGCTGGGAAAGTGGTCAGAGTATGGATGAGCTATGGAAGTAGAACCAAATGATGTGATCATAGACTGGATATAGGAAATGAGTAAAGAAAAGAAAAAGTGAAGGACTCCAAGGATTTTGGCCTGAGCAATGGAAGGAAGGTGACGGAGATGAAAAGGGGACTAAGAGATCAAGTTTGTAATAGCAGAAACTAGGAATCCCCTTCAGGGAAAGCTAAGATTAATATGCCTACTAGATGTTGAATAGGCAATTAATGTAGGCAAGTCTGGAGTTCAGGTGAAAATCCTAAGCTGGAGATACAAACTTGAGACTTGTCAGCATATAAATGGTAAGCAAAAAATGGGAGATGAATACTCAATGAAATTACCTAGAGTGTGAAGTGGGGACCAGAATCCTGGGGAATTCCAATATTTAAATATCAGGACAAATGAGAATTAATATTGTCAGTTTTTCATGATTTAAACAGGTTTCCTCATAGAAGCTGTGGGAGGTAGTAGAGTATTTCTTGGTTTGTGAATCAGAGTTTTAGAAATTTTAAGAGCTGCTGGCTGTTGCTTTGTTGATTAAAGAAGAATAGACTTATTTTCAAACTCAAGGACATTTTGGTCTCCACTGGCTAAATGACAGGATCCCCCCCCCCTTAACTTTCCTCATAGCAGGATTTTAGTCATGACAGTCCATCACTTGTGTGATTTTTGTCTTATACTTGTCTTTCTTTTTGTTCCTACCTCCCCAAAGACTAAGCTCTGAGAGAACGTGGAGATTTTTATTTTACTCAGCACTTACTCTATTCCCCAGTTTCTAGCACCATGCTTTCACCATATGAGTTCTCCTAAATAAAAGAAAATCTTAATCATTCATTTGACTAGAATGAGCTCTAAGTTCCCTTTAGTAGCCAGGCACTGCTCAAATTGCTCGGGATACAGAGGTATAGTGGAAGGTTCTGGCTTGGAGGATCTCTGAGCCTCAAATAAGACTGAGCAAAGGGATCCTTGCCATAAGGTATTTGGACATGATCAATATCAATATTTTGTGGAGATGGACTAATTGTACACCTTGTACACAGGATGTTGGTATATTAACAAACACTGTTTATGCATGATGTACTTCATATCTATTATACCATTATCATTTGAATCTCAAGGTCAAGCTGAAGAAACTGAAGTCAGGAAGTCTCATCAGAGAAGCTAGTCCTACTGAACCAGGAGGTTAAACTGGGTCCCCTGACTTCACTTCCATATTAGCCTCTTTTATACTTAAATACTCCTGTATTTTATGACAGAATGGAGTCCAATGGAGTAAGATATGGTGCTAGAGTGATAAAAGAATTATTCTCAGAAAAACGACACTTTCTTGCTTCTTCAAGAACTGCTGCTTATGGCCAAGAATTGGGGTTGGCTGGAAAATAAAAATTCCATCCTACACAGGAAATATAACTAGTGACCTTACTGACTGAATCTGTACTATTGCTTTATAGGTTAGGCAGCAAGAGCACTGATTGAGAGCATTTGCTGTGCCACATTAACAAAACCGTTGCTAGATGCACACATACAGGAAGTATTTAGTCTTTTGCAGTAATCAAGAGGTGTGAGAAGAGCCAATTCAGAAGTTCTTCTAGCTGCTGAGATTGTTGTTCCCTCATCTGCTTCTATCCCCTTTATCTGCAAATTTAGAGTTTTTTTTCATTGTCTATTATACATAATTTTCTCCCAATCTGGAAACAACTATAGAGAAGGCTCTCCATAAATATCAAATCATTTTGAAATATATGGACCCACATAAGATCTCCTAGGATCAGGTCATATAATAAAATATAGTTCACAATCTTTATGATAATAATTGCAAGAATATAATAACATGGTAGTATTAAATATTTTTATTTACTTTTTAGCCAGGAAATAAGAAAGCAACTTTATTTCTGATCCAATAATAAAATCCCTAGCAATCCACTTTGCAAATACAAGAAGGCAAAAAATGGAGAAAATATTGAATGTCAGTGTATATCAAGTTTCATGTAACCCTTTTAGCCAAGGTACAGCTTATCTCAATGGATTTAATGAAAAACAGTACTTCATTTTGCTTATCTACTTCCTAATGGTATTGAAGGTCATAGGCATGTTATGCTAATTTGCAGAGCAAGAGAGATACTAATCCTTAAGAAGACAAAGTAGTTAATCCAAGTTTATACCAAATGATAAAATAAAGACAGGAAACAAATCGAACTTCAATTATTATCATTGGGTAAATACAACATAGTTGTCTTTGTAAAAAGAAATACCCTTTTTCCGCAGTAGAACGCTGGCGTGTTTCCGTCCATTTCGGTTTTCCACGTGGCAGGTATAATTCGCCAGGTCAGCCTCCACCACTGAGTCAAAGATGAGTGCCAGCTCAACTTCTTTTTCTCCAAGATGCTCTTTGAGGAGCCTGAAATAAAGACCGTATTCTTGACTTAATTAGTCTGATTTGGGCAGAAAACAGCCATGCAAAGCCTCCAGATGGCTCTGCGGCTCAGACAGGTTTCTGGTGGGTACAGAGAGTCCAGCTGGGTGTATGTGCAGATGGAATCTTCAACAAGAAAACACAAAAAGTGGTTTTTGGCCTGAAGGTTAGATGAGAAAGAAAATAAGTGAGGAATTCGCATATCAAAAAGAAGTATTAACATGGCACTAGGCTTTGATGACTGAAGCTAACATGAGTTGCTTAGCACAAAGGAGGAAACATTGGGTTCCATGTTCTAAATGGAATTTGTGAAAAATTGATCAGATTTTTACACCATTGTACGAAGGGAAAAAACCCATAGTAGCATGGGTTTTGTGACAGAAGTTAGAGTTTTTGCAGTAGTGAGGTGAGAAACGGGCCTTGAAAATGATTACCTACAAATGCATGAGTAATATATGTTAATTAAAATAAAAAAATTAAAATTACAAAAACAGGGGCCAGTGTGTGGTACAGCAGATTAAGCCTCTACCTGCAAAGCCAGCATCTCATATGGGTGCCGGTTCAAGTCCTGGCTGCTCCACTTCTAATCCAGCTCCCTACTAATCCTCTCAGGAAGGCAGAGGAGGATGGCTCAAGTGCCTGAGCCCCTGCAACCCATGTGGGAGACCCAGATGGAATTTCTGGCTCCTAGTTTCAGCCTGACTTAGAACAGGTTGTTGCAACCATTTGGGGAGTGAACTAGCAGATGGAAAATCTCTCTCTCTCTTTTTGTCTCTCTCTGTCTTTTCCTGTCTTTCTGTAACTGTTCCTTTCATATAAATAAATAAATCTTCAAATAAATTCAAAAACAGTTGCCTTATAAGAAGTACACTGAAGGTGGCTGATGGTCTCAAGCCCCAAACATCAGTTTTCAGCTTTTCTGCTTTCTGTTGTTCAAGTCCAAGTCATGTAGTCTTGGTCCCTAATCCCCTATAATGTGAACCCTCCAAAACTCTGATTTCTCTAGACACTGCTCCCTATTTCTCCCTCTGCTTTCCCCCTTCACAGGAGAAATCCTACCCTATGTGACATTGTCCCCTAGTCTTGCTTTTTGCTTTCTCAACTGAAGTTGTACAGCCCTTCAATAGCCAGGAACAGGTGTTCTTCACAGAGGAGCTGGGTTGCCAGGATCCTTTCCTGAGGAGTCGCCTCCTGTTTCTTTGGAGACTTACAATCTCACCAATGACCAGTGTTCTGGGGGAGCTGAAAGTGAGTACCCTGCTAACTTTTCTTTTTTGTCTTCTGCCTTTGCTCAAAGAAGGCACACTTCATGTGTCAAAACAGTAGCAACCCAGCAGTTAAATTCTGGGGTAGGTACTTCAATGCATACATTTGTAAGCATGAAATATTTTAGATGGAAAATCAGGGAACTGGAATTAATTCTCTTTTCGTTTTGGACACATGGGTATAAGTCCAGATAATGGCCCTCTACTTTACTGGCATTGAGTGTAAAGTTGGAAAAAGCAACTGTGTCCAGAGAAAGCTGGCTTCTAATTACAGGCCTCCCATGTACAAGCTCATGCTGGGTCCTAACAAAGTCATTAACTCAATGGTGCCTTCATTTCATTCATCTTTAAATCAGGGAAAATAACTGTCATGCTTACCTCAACTTTGTTGTGAGAATCACATGGATTAAAGTGATTTGAAAAGTAAATAGAACCATGAACATGCAAAGGAAATGTTATTTAACATAAACATTTCATTATCTGAAGGTAGATTGTTTAGATTTTGGTGCCTCCAAAAATATTTGTATTTACATTTATTGACATTTAAAATCGGCTTGGCTTAATCCCTCTGACTCCCCTTGGAGAGAAGAAAGGACTTAAAGTTGGGTTGGTGGAAGAGAATTTCCAGAATCCAAGAGTCTCTTCTGCTGGAATATGAAGCCCAAGTTATATCCCACATAGACATACTTTTAAAATTAACCTGGTTGCTGTTCCCTTCCTGTCGCTCCCCGTCTTCGTGGAGGAACGACACTAAACCCTGCCTGGGCTTCATATCCGAGTCACGGCACCATTATGTCGCTCCCCGTCTTTGTGGAGGAACGACACAGGACCCTGCGCTGTTCTTTTGTCTGCTCGGCCCTCCCCGGGTTTGCTGCTGGTTCTTCCCGGGTTGGCTACCGACCCTTCCACCTCCGTGGAAGGGCGGATCCCCCTGCCACATTCCCCACTTCCGCGGGGGAGCGGCACACCGCCGGCCGGCTCTCTCGGGGGCTGCTCAGGTGTTCCTTCAGATAGATGTTCCCCTTAGATGTTCCTGGTGCATGTTGTCTCTCTCCTCCTTTATAGTCCTCTTCCACCAATCACAACTCTGCTACCCACAAGCCGAGTACGCTGCTCTCCTCCAATCAGGAGTAAGTCCTACAGTTTATTGGTTGAACTGGAGGCAGCTGTGTAGAAGCTGTTTCTCCCTTCTCAGCGCCATATTGTGGGAGAGCAGATGCATAGAATAAGTCCTAATTCCAGTAACTTAGTCTAGTCCGAGTTGCTCCCCACACTTCCAACAATATACATACCTGAGGGTTGAAAACACTGGTACTTGTGGCACAAATAAGTCTTCTGCCCTGTACATTTATGTACCATCACTGCACTAGACTGGTTTCAGAATTTTTATAACTAAATTTTTGAGACCACATCTTACTTTAGTCTACTGATCATTTTTCTTACTGATTAAAGCTATAATTCACTCTCTTCTTCATTTACTCATTTACTCCCAACATGTTCCTAAGCAAGAAAAAAATCGGGATTTTACTATCTTTGTGGTTTGCATTGACTTTTGCTTTTTCCACTTTCTCTCTGCTACTGGTAAATCCCACCACATTCAATTTTTAGCTTTGTGTAACCTGCTGTGGAAGAAACCCCTGTCGTTCCAGGAGCTGCTTGGGCACCACAAATTCAGTTTGATTTAAAGCTTCGCATGGAGGGCAGCCAAAGCCTCTGCCAGGCACGGGGTGGAAAGCTGATCCTGTTCCTTCTGACCAACACTTTCCCTCTTCATTTCTACTGCAGTTTCCAAAAACGGCTCTTCACGGGCTGCAGAAAGAATCTGGAGTGAGGATTTGAAAAATGATCCTTGGTTCATCTAATAATATATATGAGGTGTCTTAATTATCAGCTCTTAAAAATCTAGAGATGACTTGCTTTTTCAGAATTAAAGAACAGGTTCGTGTTTATGTCTAGAAATCATCCTGCAGGGCACTCATAATGTCCTAGAGAATATTTATCTAAAATATTTTTTTGCTGATCCCTAATAATTGCTATGTTCTGCTTTAGATATATATTTTAAAAATATATTTCTGCTTATTTCTTTATTTATTATTTGTTATTTGAGAGGCAGAAAGAGCTCCCATCTGCTGGTCCACTCTCCAACTGCCTGCAACAGCTGGGGCCAACCAGGAAATCAATCCAGGTCTCTCTCACGGGTTTTAGGGATCTAAGCACTTGAGCCATTATCTGCTGCCTTCTAGGGTACCCATTAGGAGGAAACTGGACTAGGGAGCAGAGCTGGGATTTGAAATCAAGCACTCCAAAACAGGATGTGGGCTTCTTAACTGCTAGGACAAATGCTCACCCTGGTCTAGATATTTGGTGTAAGAGAAATACAAACATTAAAAGGCCTGGCCCCTACTCCCATTAAGTTTTAAAACTTAAATGAGGAGATTAAACCTACACAGTTGAGAAACTATATGAAGCTTGTGGTAAAACAGAGTGGTACAGTCATGCTTACAATAGATTGCTTTTAGGAGGGAGAACTGCCATTGACTAACTTAGCTAGAAAAGGCTTGAGAGAACTGGCTGCACAAAATGAAGAAGGGAGAGCGTTTTCCAGAGGACATGATAGGAGCAGTTCTTTGCAGATGTTGTGAAAGATGCACTGAAGTGACTGGTTTCAGAATGGAGGATACAGGTGATGGAATGCTGGGATATACACATATTTCAGATGACCTCAGAACTATCTAATTCCAAGGTTTAGCTTTTTTTTTTTTTTGTGAGGATGCAAGGACCACAGGTATTTTGATTTTTTAACTTTTTAACAGCTGTATTGAAGTGTAACTGATATATAAAATACTGCACATATTTAATGTATATAGGGTTTTTTTTAAATTTATTTGACAGGTAGAGTTAGACAGTGAGAGAGAGACACAGAGACAAAGGTCTTTCTTCCATTGGTTCACCCCCAAAATGTCCGCCACGGCTGGCACTGCGCCGATCTGAAGCTAGGAGCCAGGTGCTTCTTCCTGGTCTCCCACGCGGGTGCAGGGACCCAAGCACCTGGGCCATCCTCCACTGCACTCCCAGTCCACAGCAGAGAGCTGGACTGGAAGAGGAGCAGCCAGGACTCAAACTGGCATCCATGTGGGATGCCGGTGCTGCAGGCGGAAGATTAACCAAGTGAGCCACAGCGCCAGCCCTATATATAGGTTTTAAGGATTTCTTTATTTGAAAAGCAGAATGAGAGAGAGAGAGAGAAAGGGAGAGAGAGAAGAATCTTCCATCCACTGGTTCACTCCCAAAATGGCCACAATGGCCAGGACTGGGCCAGGCTGAAGCCAGGAACCAGGAACTCCAACCTGGTCTCCCATGTGGGTGGCAGGGATATTCTGTTGCTGCTTTCCTAGGTGCATCAGCAGGGAGCTGGATCAGAAGTGGAGCAGCTGGGACTTCAATTGGTGCCCATATGGGATGCCAGTATTGCAGGTGGTTGGTTATTCTGTTGTGCTACAGCATAGGCCCCCAAATGTATCCAATTTGAAAAGTTTAGATATATGCATACATCCATGGTGATGGTGATGGTAACCAAAGCAGTCCAAGGATTAACATTTTTGGCAAGCTAAAATGAAAAACAATCAATTCAGGTGACAGAAATCAATATCTTCAAAAGTTTTATTCAATTTGGACCTATAATTAAAAAGTAATACCTGGGGCAGGCATATGGCACAGTGG